GTGAATGTGGGTATCTGTCAATCAAAGAATCCACTTAAGCTGCACCGTGTTTTAGAGGCTTTTATTAATATCACGAGGTTACAGCATAAGTTACAGACACGCGAAGTCTGGAGAAGCAGTCCCAAATGAATCTCAATGCTTTCTGACCCTCCTTCGTTTTTCCCCCTACTTATAAACAATGCAAAAAGATGCTCCCTCTTCTGGCCAATCACCAGTCTCCCCTGCCTACAACACACTTCCTGTCTGTTGTATGTGGCGTTACACTAAAACATTCCCTCTTGATACTAAAATCAACATTCTTTCAGTTCCACTTAATTTTTTTTTAACAAAGACATAATCCCAATACACGACATTGGTTATGGGCTTGTAAGGAAGCATTTCACTGTAATGTCTACACCTGTTGTATTCGGCACATGTGGCAAATAAAATGTGATTTGATTTGATTTTGTCGTGTATCGCGTCGAATGCTGGTACTTATTGCTGTCAAACAAAGAGTCCGCTTAGGCTGCACTTTGATTATAAGTTTTATTTATATCACAAGATGTCAGCATAAGTTACAGACCTGCAGCGTCTGGAGAAACAGTGTCCCAAATTAATCTGTCTGTTCTAACCCCCTCTGCCTCCAGCATATACTTATAAACAATGCAAAAATATGGGTTGCTCCCTCTGCTGTCCAATCACCTGTCTCCCCTGGGGCGTCACCCTACAAATGGCTATTTTTGAACTAACATAAACATCTTTTCAGTTCCACATGAAAAACATTAACAAAGACATAATCCTAATACACTACAATTTCAAGTGAACCCATTTCCAGTTACTGGGACTTACAGTATGTTGAGGATATTGAGGCACCATGTGAACCACTAGTTTTGAGTGATTCGATTTCGTGAAGCAGGCTCACATATTTCATATAGCTAGCACACAATAGGTAGCTACAGTACAAACATCTTGTTATCACATCAGTCTATATAGACTCTAATAGAATAGCAGTGATCAGAAGGACCAGGGTAGACTCTAATATACTAGCAGTGATCAGAAGGACCAGGGTAGACTCTAATAGACTAGCAGTGATCAGAAGGACCAGGGTAGACTCTAATATACTAGCAGTGATCAGAAGGACCAGGGTAGACTCTAATAGACTAGCAGTGATCAGAAGGACCAGGGTAGACTCTAATAGACTAGCAGTGATCAGAAGGACCAGGGTAGACTCTAATAGACTAGCAGTGATCAGAAGGACCAGGCAGCGTAACCTAGTTAGAAAAATGTATTTAAGTGTCAATCCACAATGATACAATAATAAAATAATACAGGGGGAAAAAAAGAACTAAAACACTGTGGACCACCCAAATTTAGTTGAGGCACTAAAAGCCATCATAGTCAAACATGGTACAGGCTTCATCTATAAAGCATTAAATCATCTATACACATACATAAACAAAACAAAGTACAGTGTCAGGGTCCACAGAGGATCAGGAATAAATAATAATATTTCATAAGCAATGTAATAGAAAAACAGATACACACAAAAAAAAACGAAGGTCACTTTTGTACACTGACAGTACAGTGAACTGACAGCCTCTATCTAGTTATGGAATTGTCATTGAAGGAATGTCTCTGGATTCAGTGCACTGCAGGTTCATGTTACGAAAACAACAATAAAAGCAAAGCCTAGAAAAATACACAATATTTGGCTGGTGGCTTGGTTGTCATCACTTCAAAGATTGGTGTAAAGGACCTTTTGGTCTTAGGCTGTCTGTGTGTCATAGACCATCCACGCCTCTCTCAACTTGGGGTAGTATTTCTTGAAGGCCACCTCCTCAGCCCAGGTGAGCATGGCCCGGTAGGTGTGCAGCAGCAGGTGGGGGAAGCGGGAGGTGAAGTAGGACACAAAGCCTTCTGGTAATGAGCCGAACGTCTTATGGAGATCAGGAATTTCATCGTAATGGTTACTCTATGGGAAACAGCATACAGTTTATAGAATGTCACTTGCACACATTTAATGAGGTTATCAATACTGAACAAAAATATAAATGCAACATGTAAAGTGTTGGTCTCATGTTTCATGAGCTGGAATAAAAGATCCCTGAAATGTTCCATATGCAAAAAAATGTCTCTTAACTTTTGTGCACAAATTTGTTTCCCTGTTAGTGAGCATTTCTCCTTTGCCAAGATAATCCTTCCACCTAACAGGTGTGGTATATCAAGAATTAAACAGCATGACCATTACGCAGGTGCACCTTGTGCTGGGGACAATAAAAGGCCACTCTAAAATGTGCAGTTTGTCACACAACACAAACCACAGATGTCTCAAGTTTTGAGGGAGCGTGCAATTGGCATGCTGACTGGAGGAATGTCCCCCTACTGAACAAAAATATAAATGCAACATGTAAAGTGTTGGTCTCATGTTTCATGAGCTGGAATAAAAGATCCCTGAAATGTTCCATATGCAAAAAAATGTCTCTTAACTTTTGTGCACAAATTTGTTTCCCTGTTAGTGAGCATTTCTCCTTTGCCAAGATAATCCTTCCACCTAACAGGTGTGGTATATCAAGAATTAAACAGCATGACCATTACGCAGGTGCACCTTGTGCTGGGGACAATAAAAGGCCACTCTAAAATGTGCAGTTTGTCACACAACACAAACCACAGATGTCTCAAGTTTTGAGGGAGCGTGCAATTGGCATGCTGACTGGAGGAATGTCCCCCAGAGCTGTTGCCATAGAATTCAATGTTCATTTCTCAACCATAAGCCGCCTCCAATGTCATTTTTAGAGAATTTGGTAATACGTCAACCGACCTCACAACCACAGACTACGTGTAACCACGCCAGTCCAGGACCTCCACACCCTGCTTTTTCACCTGCGGGATCATCTGAGACCAGCCACCCAGACAGCTAATGAAACTGAGGAGTATTTCTGTCTGTATTAAAGTCCTCTTGTGGGGAAAAACAAATTCTGATTGGCTGGGCCTGGCTCCTCAGTGGGTGGGCCTATGCCTTCCCAGGCCCACCCATGGCTGCGCTCCTGCCCAGTCATGTCAAATCCATAGATTAGGGCCAAATTAGTTTATTTAAATTGACTGATTTGCTTATATGACCTGTAACTCAGTAAAATCGTTGAAATTATTTCATGTTGCATTTATATTTTTGTTCAGTATATTAAAGGAGGTTGTAGTCACACAAAGAAATATGTCCATACCTTATGTATTTGATTAATTCTGATAACAATCTTTATTTTTTCAATAATGAAATAATTATTAATGTTACACAATGAACTACTTATACCAATATAGTGTTTAATTCGAGTAGCAGCACCTTAGAGACTGCTGCTGTCACGACTTCCTCCGAAGCTACCTCCTCTCCTCCTCTCCTTGTTCGGGCAGGCTTCGGCATTCGTCGTCACCGGCCTTCTAGCCACTGCCGCTCCTCATCTCATCATTCCATTTGTTTTGTCTTGTCTATTACACACACCTGGTTCATATCCCCTCATTAGTACTTGTATAAGTGTTCCCTCTGCCCCCTTGTCCTTGTGGGTGATTGTTTAATGTGAGGAGAGAGTAGCGCGGCTGAGCTACGTGTATTTTGTATTGCCAGGGTATACTTTCCCAGTGCGCCTGTTTTGCGCATTTGACTATTTGAGCTATATCTGCGTAACTCAGTATTCCGGAATAAACTCTGTATTCTGTGATTTACCCTCCTGCGCCTGAATCCTTCAAATCACCCATCACAGCTGCCCTATGTACATAGTCAATGAACACTGGTCACTTTAATGTTTGCATACTGTTTTACCAACTTCATATGTACAGTGCATTCAGACTTTTTCCACATTCTGTTACGTTACAGCCTTATTCTAAAATGGATTAAATTGTTTTTCCCCCCCCCTCATCAATCTACACACAATACCCCATAATGACAAAGCAAAAACAGTTTTTTAGAAAGTTTAGAACGTTTATCAAAAATTAAAAATTAAATATCACATTTACATAAGTATTCAGACCCTTTCAATTGATTCAATTGATTGGACATGATTTGGAAAGGCACACACCTGTCTATATAAGGTCCCAGAGTTGACAGTGCATGTCAGAGCAAAAACCAAGCCATGAGTTCGAAGGAATTGTCCGTAGAGCTCCGAGACAGGATTGTGTCAAGGCACAGATCTGGGGAAGGGTATAAGAAAAATTCTGCAGCATTGAAGGTCCCCAAGAACACAGTGGCCTCCATCATTCTTAAATGGAAGAAGTTTGGTACCACCAAGGCTCTTACTAGAGCTGGCCGCCTGGCCAAACTGGGCAATTGGGGTAGAATGGCCTTGGTCATGGAGGTGACCAAGAACCCGATGGCCAATCTGACAGAGCTTTAGAGTTCCTCTGTGGAGATAGGAGAAACTTCCAGAAGGACAACCATCTCTGCAGCACTCCACAAATCAGGCCTTTATAGTAGAGTGGCCAGACGGAAGCCACTCCTCAGTAAAAGGCACATGACAGCCCGCTTGGAGTTTGCCAAAAGGCACCTAACGACTCTCAGACCATGAGAAACAAGATTCTCTGGTCTGATGAAACCAAGATTGAATTCTTTGGTCTGAATGCCAAGTGTCAAGTCTGGAGGAAACCTAGCACCTCCCTATGGTGAAGCATGGTGGTGGCAGCATCATGCTGTGGGGATGTTTTTCAGCGGCAGGGACTGGGAGACTAGTCAGGATCGAGGCAAAGATGAACGAAGCAAAGTACAGAGAGATCCTTGATGAAACCTGCTCCAGAGCGCTCAGAACCTCAGACTGGGGTGAAGGTTCACCTTCCAACAGGACAACGACCCTAAGCACACAGCCAAGACAATGCAGGAGTGGCTTCGGGACAATTCTCTGAATGTCCTTGAGTGGCCCAGCCAGAGCCCAGAAGAATGGGAGAAACTCCCCAAATACAGGTGTGCCAATCTTGTAGCGTCATTCCCAAGAAAACTCGATGATGTAATCGCTGCCAAAGGTGCTTCATCAAAGTACTGTACATAAAGTGTCTGATTACTTATGTAAATGTAATATTTCAGTTTTTATTTTTAATACATTTGCAAAGAATTCTTTAAAAGTTTTTGCTTTGTTGTTATGGGGTATTGTGTGTAGATTGATGAGGGGAAAAAAACCATTTAATCAATTTTAGAATAAGGCTGTAACGTAACAAAATTTGGAAAAAGTCAAGGGGTCTGAATACTTTTTGAATGCACTGTATATACTGTATTCTAGTCAAGGCTCATCCTATTTAACTACTGCTGTACACACCTTTTCTATCCATATACTGTCTATACCAGGGGTGTCAAACGTACGGCCCGCGGGCCGGATCAGGCCCGCAAACGGGTTTAATCCGGCCCGCGAGATGATTAAAAAAAAAAAAGTAATTTTTTTTTTTTGTTGCAATTTTTCTATAAAATAAACTGCTGTTCCAATTGCGTCCACTGGATGGCGCAATAGCAATTGTGTTAAGCAAGCAAACTGTATATACCGGGGCAGAGCAAGTAGGTCAAGCACGTGCAGCCAATGAGCTACTTTGTTTTGCCCGCGATATTTATTACGGCTTCTACTTTTAACATTATGTGCTTTGGCACCCTCATTGCCCCAATATGTCTCTGTCAAAAAAGAGAAAAGTGGACGCAGAGTGCAGAGTGTTCCAAGAAAAATGGTCATCCTATTTAATCACGGAATTGAATGGGAAAGCTGTATGTTTGGTGTGTTCAGAGCATGTTGCAGTGCTGAAAGAATATAACCTTCGTCGCCACTATGTGAGTCTTCATGCCGACAAATATGACAACTTTCAAGGACAGCGGAGATGAGAGAAGGTGAATGAACTGTTGGCGGGTCTGAAGAAACAGCAGTCTGTGTTTACTCACAGCCGAGACATCAGTGACGCTGCAGTGAAAGCTAGCTACCTCATTGCTAATGAAATCGCAGTGGCTTCAAAACCATTTAGTGAGGGTGAATTTGTAAAAACATGCATGATGAAGGCAGCGGAGATTGTGTGCCCTGAAAAGCGGCAGGCTTTTGCAAATATCAGCCTGACAAGAAACACAGTTGCAGACAGGATTTCCGATCTTTCAGTGGATTTGGACAGCCAGTTGAAGCAAAAAGTAAAGTCATTTATTGCGTTTTCGGTTGCAATTGATGAAAGCACGGACATTACAGATGTTGCACAACTGGCCATTTTTTCATCCGCGGAGTTGATGACACATTGACCGTCACCGAGGAGTTCGTGGAGTTGGTGCCGATGACAGATACAACGACAGCAGCTGATATTTTTACCGCACTCGTCGGCGCGCTGGACAGGGTCGGAGTGGACTGGTCCCGCGCTGTCAGCCTGACTACAGATGGTGCGCCCTCAATGATCGGGAAAAAAGCAGGCGTTGTGACAAAGTTCAGAGAGAAAGTGCAATCTGCAAATGGAGGACGTGATTTTTTGACTTTTCACTGTATTTTGCACCAGGAGGCTTTGTGTTGCAAGTCATTAAAGATGGATAACGTCATGAAGGTGGTCATCCAAACTGTTAATTTCATCCGATCCAGAAGCCTGAATCACCGTCAGTTTGACAGCCTTCTCAGAGAGAAAGACCACATCTACGGCCTGCCATACCACACTGAGGTAAGATGGTTAAGCCGAGGTGCTGTGCTGAGGCGTTTCTTTGATTTACGAGAAGAAATTGAACAGTTCATGGAAGAAAAGGGCAAACCAGTGTTAGAATTTCATTCCGCAGAATGGATGCCGGACCTTGCATTTATGGTGGATGTTACAGAGCACCTGAATAACTCGAACAAACAGCTGCAAGGGCGCAACAAAGTTGTCACGCAGTATTATGACAGCATACGTTCTTTCAAGTTGAAGCTGTCATTGTGGGAGACGCAACTTGCCGGTGGTGATGCAGCTCACTTGTCTGAAAAATGTGTGCGCGACCCAACATGTGGCAGACATGAAGCGGTTCAAAGATAAAATAACGGGACTGTTACGGGAGTTTGAGCAACGCTTTCAGATTTATGTTTATATGTTTTTATGTTGATGTGCTATTGTTTTTAATTGATTTTATTTTATTTGTATATTTAACCTATTCTTGACTCTGTGGTTCTTGCACTTGTTTGGGGAACAGGATTTCATTATTTTTATCTACATTTCTGCCTGAGAAATGACACCCTGATATAGTTCTGTGATCTGTGATATACTTCTGTGAATCACTGAGGCATTGTGTGTTTGTGTGTTCTTTGTCCTCAGAACTTTCAAATAACTTGAGGTGTTTTATGATTAATAGTGATGTTGTGCTTTTGGACACTGTCCTTAGGCTCCAGCTTTATGTTTATATGTTTTTATGTTGATGTGCTATTGTTTTTAATTGATTTTATTTTATTTAACCTATTCTTGACTCTGTGGTTCTTGCACTTGTTTGGGGAACAGGATTTCATTATTTTTATCTACATTTCTGCCTGAGAAATGACACCCTGATATAGTTCTGTGATCTGTGATATACTTCTGTGAATCACTGAGGCATTGTGTGTTTGTGTGTTCTTTGTCCTCAGAACTTTCAAATAACTTGAGGTGTTTTATGATTAATAGTGATGTTGTGCTTTTGGACACTGTCCTTAGGCTCCAGCTTTATGTTTATATGTTTTTATGTTGATGTGCTATTGTTTTTAATTGATTTTATTTTATTTGTATATTTAACCTATTCTTGACTCTGTGGTTCTTGCACTTGTTTGGGGAACAGGATTTCATTATTTTTATCTACATTTCTGCCTGAGAAATGACACCCTGATATAGTTCTGTGATCTATGATATACTTCTGTGAATCACTGAGGCATTGTGTGTTTGTGTGTTCTTTGTCCTCAGAACTTTCAAATAACTTGAGGTGTTTTATGATTAATAGTGATGTTGTGCTTTTGGACACTGTCCTCAGGCTCCAGCTTTATGTTTATATGTTTTTATGTTGATGTGCTATTGTTTTTAATTGTTTTTATTTTATTTGTATATTTAACCTATTCTTGACTCTGTGGTTCTTGCACTTGTTTGGGGAACAGGATTTCATTATTTTTATCTACATTTCTGCCTGAGAAATGACACCCTGATATAGTTCTGTGATCTGTGATATACTTCTGTGAATCACTGAGGCATTGTGTGTTTGTGTGTTCTTTGTCCTCAGAACTTTCAAATAACTTGAGGTGTTTTATGATTAATAGTGATGTTGTGCTTTTGGACACTGTCCTTAGGCTCCAGCTTTATGTTTATATGTTTTTATGTTGATGTGCTATTGTTTTTAATTGATTTTATTTTATTTGTATATTTAACCTATTCTTGACTCTGTGGTTCTTGCACTTGTTTGGGGAACAGGATTTCATTATTTTTATCTACATTTCTGCCTGAGAAATGACACCCTGATATAGTTCTGTGATCTGTGATATACTTCTGTGAATCACTGAGGCATTGTGTGTTTGTGTGTTCTTTGTCCTCAGAACTTTCAAATAACTTGAGGTGTTTTATGATTAATAGTGATGTTGTGCTTTTGGACACTGTCCTCAGGCTCCAGCTTTATGTTTATATGTTTTTATGTTGATGTGCTATTGTTTTTAATTGTTTTTATTTTATTTGTATATTTAACCTATTCTTGACTCTGTGGTTCTTGCACTTGTTTGGGGAACAGGATTTCATTATTTTTATCTACATTTCTGCCTGAGAAATGACACCCTGATATAGTTCTGTGATCTGTGATATACTTCTGTGAATCACTGAGGCATTGTGTGTTTGTGTGTTCTTTGTCCTCAGAACTTTCAAATAACTTGAGGTGTTTTATGATTAATAGTGATGTTGTGCTTTTGGACACTGTCCTTAGGCTCCAGCTTTATGTTTATATGTTTTTATGTTGATGTGCTATTGTTTTTAATTGATTTTTATTTTATTTGTATATTTAACCTATTCTTGACTCTGTGGTTCTTGCACTTGTTTGGGGAACAGGATTTCATTATTTTTATCTACATTTCTGCCTGAGAAATGACACCCTGATATAGTTCTGTGATCTGTGATAACAGTTATGTTAATCACTGAGGCATTGTGTGTTTGTGTGTTCTTTGTCCTCAGAACTTTCAAATAACTTGAGGTGTTTTATGATTAATAGTGATGTTGTGCTTTTGGACACTGTCCTCAGGCTCCAGCTTTATGTTTATATGTTTTTATGTTGATGTGCTATTGTTTTTAATTGATTTTATTTTATTTGTATATTTAACCTATTCTTGACTCTGTGGTTCTTGCACTTGTTTGGGGAACAGGATTTCATTATTTTTATCTACATTTCTGCCTGAGAAATTACACCCTGATATAGTTCTGTGATCTGTGAAACAGTTCTGTTAATCACTGAGGCATTGTGTGTTTGTGTGTTCTTTTTCTTTAGAATTTTCAAATAAACTTGACGTGTTTTATGATTAATAGTGATGTTGTGCTTGTACTATTTTGGACACACTGTCCTCAGGCTCCAGCTTTATGTTGTATGTTGATCGTATTAAAACAAAGAAAACAATCTGAAGTTGTTGTTTTTAAGTTATATATATACCATGATTTTTCCGGTCCGGCCCACTTGGGAATAGATTTTCCTCCATGTGGCCCCTGAGCTAAAATGAGTTTGACACAGTGCACAAAACATTAAGAACACCTTCCTAATATTGAGTTTGTCTTGTTTGCAATGAAACTGTCTCTGTTTGTAAATAATTAAATCTGAGACGTCAGTAGGAATCTGAGCATGGTACTTTCAAAAGTTAGACCTACCATTCCACCCCAGGCCTACAGACGAAGAAAAATGTAAGCTTTAACTGCTGGCTACTCTTCTTCCTTGGCTTAACCCAACAAGAGAAGGTCACAAGTGCTTCCCTAAAAGCTGTCTGGGTTTTAAAATATTATATTGTACAGAAAGTGAATAGCTTAATCAATTGATAGTGACAGAATTAGATTACTTCCCAAGCAAAGTACATGTTTTGTCTCCTCGGCTATAGAAGGTTGTAGCTCAGCCTCTGAATGTCAAAGTGATATCCCCATATGCATCGGAGTCACGTCTTTCTCTGGTATTTTACAGCTTGTTTCTAGCATTTAAAAAATTGTGGACCAAAGCGCTGTTATAGATCACTTTATAAATCAGATCAGTTGTATTTTCTTCCAAATCTTAAACTAACAAGGGGTAGGCCTGTGCTTTTTGCCATTTTCTTTAATAAAAAGTAGGCCTATGGCATACCATCTCATACCCCCTCAATTTGAGTCTTGGTTTTAACTTAACAGCTCTTCACTGACACAGAAGTAGTCTATTTAAAGAGTGCATAGTGGATGGAGGAATTGACCGACAAATCTATGGATATAGCAGCCTATAGCCTAATTTTGTCTGTCAAACAGATAGACCTACCTCTTATTTCTTAAATAGGAAGACAAATAGGCTCCAACATAAAGCCCTCTTGTTGTTAGTAAAGTCAAATTAAAATGAAGACAGTTTAAATGAATGCCTACTCAGATTTGCCTATTTTCAGCACCATGAGCTGTCCATTTCCAATTGATTGTGCCCCTGCTTCAAGTTTCAGCACCACAATGTAAGTTACTCGAATCTGGCTTATTATGATGTCAATAAGTCTGATAAATTGGCCAACATCATGGGCAAGAAACATATTGTTTTGAATAAAATCAATTATAGTATTAGCAAGCTATCAAAGTTGACCTTCAGTCCTCCTTCTCATATTCGCTCTCTCCTTCTCAAACTGAACAGAACATAGGCTATAGGCTTGTCCACATACAATATTTTTTGGGACTAGGCCTAATCAACAGAAACTAATTCGGAAGAAGCCTTTGACTCCCCCTGAACTGCCACTGTAGGCCTACACAGCACAGCCATTGGTTAGGCAGCACATAAACACGTTTTTGATCAATAAGAGAAGAGCAGGCCGGGGCTCAGGGTTGGAATATCCATAGCAGTGTGTAATGCAGCCTAGTTTTATTTACACCATCCCAGCAGCTATCATAGAAATATAACTTTGCTCTGTGCTTCTCAGAGCATGCACTTTGTAGCCTATAGCCTGTGGATCATTTGATTGAGACCACACTAAATAGCCTATAGGCACACTTCATATTGCGCGTCCAGTGGAGAATCAGAGATGAGGGGCGCATCGGACACACAGCGATATATAGCCTAATAAGCAACTAATTCTAAAATTTCATCAATTACAAATTACATGACCCTCCCCTAGAGTTAAAACTAGACTAGAGTTAAAAAATACTAAACCCTCCCTTGAGGGTTTGAAATTGGAAAAGCATGACCCTCCTCCATTTTCCTTCAGGTACCCATTATGTAAATGTCGATCATTCCCTAAGCATTCCGATGCACCTGCGATAACATCTGCAAAATGTGTACGAGACCAGTAACATTTTATTTCATTTTGATAATATACAAATACTAGAATAATACAGTACATATCAATAGATATTATGTAATTCATTGCCAATGGACAGAACACACTTACCTTGTTTCTTATGGCCCGTAGAAGACATTTAACGGAGCCCTCTTCATATGCTCCTTTGCGTTTTTCTAGATCTGCAGAGGGAGGAGCGACAGCCAGTAAGCAAACAATGATAATTACATATACAGTATAGCAAGAATTGATCCAGAATTATGTAATCAAAAGAGGCCAAGAAAGGAGATGTTGCTGTAGCCTGGTCCAGATCTGTTTTAGCCAACACCTCTTTCAATCATTGTCATGCCAGTCATGACGCTCTTGATTTGGACCAGGCTAAAGTGGCTGTGATATACAATACGTAAATTATATTAAGGCCTCACAGTCTGTTGGTGTTCAAACACTGATCCTCAGACACTAACCTTTTCGCAAATCCTCAGTGATATGTTTCATCCAGTTCCCCTTGACCACTTTTTCTGCCTCTGACTCCAGCTGATCGATGATTGAATTTTTCAACTGCTTCAGCTGTGACTGTCCATCAATCCAGTCACTCACACCCTACAGGGGAAAACATGGCTTTAATTCCTCAAATATCTCCTTTATTACCTTCTAGCTTTGTAGCCAATAGAGTCCTCGATTACTAGCCTGAGTACCAGACTGTTTCTGCTCCACTGTATTCCAGTTTAATATGAAGAAACAATTTCAGCTTACCAGGAAAAAACGGACTTAATGAACATCCTCTGATGAGCTGTGGGCTATTTTAACCAATGGTTTAAGATGATCCATTGTCTGACAAACTTGGTATCCATAATGTTCTCATTAATGACAAGGACAAACAGCTTCAATGGAGAATCCAGAAAGAAAGACAGCTAAAATGAGGGCTATAGTATTGCCACTTGTAGTTATATTTACTGTATCCCCATTGTAGTTATTCTGGTGAGCTTTCTTCAGGGAATAAAATTGCTTGATTTTATATTATATCTAAATGTGAACAATGAAACTTGATTCAGACCTGGAAAAACTGCAGTTGTTTCTCCAGGCTCCAGAAGAAGGGGTGTTCGAGCACGCTCTCAGCAGAAGGCCTCCACTTGGGCTCCTTAGTCACCATATATTTTATCAGGTGTTCGGCCATGATGTCCTCTGGGATAGACAAGACCAAACACACAGTCACCATGAGGGGGTTGAAAACCAAGATACTGTAGTATCTTAACAGTCTAGAAATGCTGACCGTTGCAAAAAGTAGGAAACTTGGCCCTAAGATTTTGCTGATGTGGCAAAATGATGTAACTCTATTCTACAGTGCTGGAAACATCTGGAAATCATTACTTATGGAAAGATGATATGGGGAGTAAGGTAGAAAAGACCAGGGATTGGTTTTTAGGATCACACCATATTACGTCATAAATTATATAAAACCATGTCTTGAACAATAGAATAGGAAGAATAGCAAATTACTGATTGGCTGTGCTGTCTCACAGATATCTGCAGAATCTGTCAAATTCTGATGCTGGAACCTTTGTTATAATAAACCTTTGAAAACAGAGTACAGTGTCGGCGGATCTTCTTATCACTACGGCATTACCAGCAAAAGCTCGGTCTTGTTTACCACAATACTTTTTTCATTCAAAAGCATGGTGATAAAATGATTTCCTCTGAACCAATGTGATGATTTCAATGAAGAAAGACCCAGTAGTGTTGCTTACAACATCATTTCAGTTGACAAATATGATGAGAATATTTTTAAATGACAGAGCTTAATCAAACATTTTATCAGGCCTCTCTCAAAGACAACATTTGAGATCACTATTCAGTAGGATCAAATTCTGGCAATTTGTGCATGTAAAAACTGTCGCTCTGTCATTTTACATCGCTTGTGCCAGGTTCGGCAATTTACCGCTCTAACATCCGCTCGCTTGCACTGAGGTGGAAGGGGTGGCAATATTTGAGGTGTGTCTTTAAAAACAAGCGCAAAAGTGCCAATTTCATGAGGCGCTAATGGGAGATTTAAGACCTACCAGAAGCAGATTAGCAGTAACGCGGTTGATAACAGTCAGAACTTCTGATAACCCCAATAGTACGTGAACGCCACATTATGCTCATGAAACGAGAGATGCGGTTTATGATATCATGGTTCCGACCTCATCTTATTTATAAATATTGTTTTGTTTAAAAAACAACAGCAATACAAATAAAATAAAAACATGTACGTTTTTTGTTTAATTTAATTAAAAACCTAAATACGTTTGCATGATTGCCGTCCATGGCTTTATGGTGAGATCGTTCATGGCTCGCATGCAATGCAATTTGGAGCCGTCTACTATTTCTGGAGAAGTGCGAATATAATCTGTAAAATGGTTCCATTATGTTTATAAAATATTAAATTGTGGAGCAGTATAACGGTGAGTGGACAATCCCCCTTTCTGATTACATTGGAACCCTGCATGTCCAGCTCCTGTGAAAAGTTTGGATGTGCGTAAAACCCTCCATAATCTACGTTGCCTTAATATTAGATGCCCAGAGGGAGCAATTATGGTGCCTGTAACTGTAGACATTACCTATTTAAAACAAGTCCTTGTTAAGTTTTGATTCACATTTTCTTCAAGTTATTCACTGTCTTTTTAGGCCTTATCAATAGTGAATGTAATATTGCTTATTGACAATGTTTGGCATGTCCATGGCTCAGACATAATTTTATTTACAGTAGACCTAGCCCCTATATCAGTACATTGCTATGTTTAACAATGTACGCTATATATACAAAAGTATGTGAACACCCCTTAAAATTAGTGGATTCTGCTATTTCAGCCACACCCATTGCTGACAGGTGTATAAAATCGAGCACACCGCCATGCAATCTCCATAGACAAACATTGGCAATAGAATGGCCTTACTCTGTGACTTTCAACGCGGCACCGTCATAGGATGCCACCTTTCCAAGAAGTCAGTTTGTCAAATTCCTGACCTGCTAGAGCTGCCCTGGTCAACTGTAAGTGCTGTTATTGTGAAGAGGAAATGTCTAGGAGCAACAACGGCCCAGCCGTGAAGTGGTAGGCCACACAAGCTCACAGAACGGGACTGCTGAGTGCTGAAGTGTGTTGCGCGTAAAAATCGTCTGGCCTCGGTTGCTACACTCATTGCCGAGTTCCAAACTGCCTCTGGAAGCAATGTCAGCACAAGAACTGTTCATCAGGAGCTTCATGAAATGGGTTTCCATGGCCGTGCAGCCGCACACAAGCCTAAGATCACCATGTGCAATGCCAAGCGTCTGCTGGAATGGTGTAAAGCTTGCCGCCATTGGATTCTGGAGCAGTGGAAACGCATTCTCTGGAGTGTTGAATCACGCTTCACCATCTGGCAGTCCAACGGACGAATCTGGGTTTGGCAGATGACAGGAGAATGCTTTGTGGCACAAGTTTGGGGAAGGCCCTTTCCTATTTCAGCATGACAATGCCCCCGTGCACAAAGCAGGGTCCTTACAGAAATGGTTTGTCGAGATCAGTGTGAAAGAACTTGACTGGCCTGCACAGAGCCCTGACCTCAACCCCATCGAACACCTTAGGGATGAATAGGAACGCCGACTGCGAGCCAGGCCTAATCACCCAACATCAGTGCCCGACCTCACTAATGCTCTTGTGGCTGAATGGAAGCAAGTCCCCGCAGCAAAGTTTCAACATCTAGTGGAAAGACTTCCCCGAAAGGTGGAGGCTGTTATAGCAGCAAAGGGGGGACCAACTCCATATTAATGCCCATGGTTTTGGAATGAGATGTTCGATGAGCAGGTGTCCACATCCTTTTGGTAATGTAGTGTATTTTCATATTGAAGCCATGCAATTACTTGGAACAATGTGGACTGCAAACATGTTCAACATAATGAGTAAAGATGGGATAAGTCTATATTTTGTTATTTTGTCTCTGTAGACTATTTAACAAATTAGGCTATAACGGAATAACAATTGAATTGGAGTTGATGACTACGCAATACATGAAAAACTGTAAATGCTCAACTTGAAGATACCACATATTTAGCCATGGAGCATGTTCTGATTGGCCAGTGAAGGGTCAAGCCTGGGAAACCTACAGTTGATGTATTCATCAAAAATCCCTTTTGCTACAGCACCCATAATTCCCCATGTGAAAATAGTACAAATATTTTAGACAACCCGGAACCTATAGCGCTGCACAATAGCGCTAAGATTTACCATTGTGTTAGGTTTGTTAAAATAGAGCCTCTAAACTCATATGAGACCAATAGCGTAATGGTTTTAGTTAATCATAAGCACAATGTTTCCAGTCATATATTTATCAATAATTACATTTCAAAAACCACAACCATCAAAAGTTACATGATGCCACTGCAAAAAAAGGACTATTTGCCTTTAAATTAAGTAGTACTCTAATGATCATTTCAGAAACAACCTTTCAGTTGTACACTAGTTTTACCATGTTTGTCTTTCTGTAATCCGTCGAGTTTATATTCGCCATCCTCGATATTACCAGCCCTCCGTTTGGGTTCCCCAAAGGGATGTTTGCCTCCTGTCAACACATAGTAAAACACACAGCCGGCAGAGAAGATGTCCACAGCACTGGTCTGTGGAGGAAGAGGAGTGTCTTTAATAATAGTTGTTTCAGTACAGTACCACCATCGTTACTAGTTCCAATCTACAGGCAACCTAACAGAATAGTTCACAAATTTGTAAGACATTTTTAGACCCCAAAACCAGAATAAGACCCTCAATGTTAATTAGAAAGGACCATCCAGCTCATCGCCATGCACTTTCACCACCCTGTGAAGTTCATTATAACTGATTTCATCTGTAGCCTAGTAAACGGCATGGTTTCCGAAGTCATAGTGGGTGGACCACACAACATATCATCGCCTCCAAGTTTAACTCCAAGTTTAATTCATTATGATGGTTATTATATCAATATTTGCGCATAAAGCCGCAATTTGTTTGTTCTGTCTGTAAAATTTATAATGTGAGAAATGGCATATATATTTTTTACTTTCCAAGGTTAGAATGCTTGTCACTGGTTTCAGTCCGCGAAGGTCAAAAGGATTTTCTTTAGTAAAACACTGGAAGAGACACACAAGTATTAGTGAGCTGATGAACCCCAAGCATTCTAACCTTGGAAAGTAAAAAATATATATGCCATTTCTCACATTATGAATTTTACAGACAGAACAAACAAATTATCTATCGGCATTCATAAAATTGTACCGAAACTTCCTGATTCCATCACATTTTTAAAAATATGGTATGACTTTACTGGCATAAAAACTGTGGATGGAAAGTGGTAATTATTTTAGCCCTAAAAGTGGTCTAATGTCGAGCATAGTCCACATCCCACACCATGGTTGTGTAGATGGTGCCTATCTTTCTTATTTATGTATAATATACTGTAGCTTGATCTCCACAATAGATGATCAACTTTAATCTTAGGTTGAACTGTACCTTTGAGCAATGGGCCAAACCTTTAAATACATTATTATTTACTTGAATAAGGAAATCCCAATTAGCCTATTGCACCGCATTTCTTTCTCAATTATCTCTGAATCTGTAATGACTTGAGCTGTTCTCTGGTCCAGTGTAAAGATCAGGGGTCACTCACAGGGTTTCCTTTCCTGCTCTCATCCAGGACCTCTGGGGCGTTCCAGCCGATGGTGCCAAGGGCTCCCGACCTCATGCTGTAGCTTTGTCTGCCGTCCGCCAACTGCTTACTCATCCCAAAGTCTGAGATCTTGACCATGAATGAGGCAGAGTCTTTTTTCAACAGGATGTTGTAGGGCTTCACATCACGGTGGACTGGGGAGAAAAGATCAGGATGGAGTTGAGGGAAGATCTGATCAATGATAATGTAAGGAAAAGTCATGAATACTGTAACTTCACTAGGATTATCTACAGTATACAGCATATCATTATAACCTATGTTGTGAGAGTGCAGGTGTTTCAGTCCTATCATGGTCTGTTCCAGCAGCGTCACTGGTTTCAGTCCGCGAAGGTCAAAAGGATTTTCTTTAGTAAAACACTGGAAGAGACACACAAGTATTAGTGAGCTGATGAACCCCAAGCATTCTAACCTTGGAAAGTAAAACATATATATATATATAAACGCAACATGTAAAGTGTTGGGCCCATGTTTCATGAGCTGAAATAAAAGATCCCAGACATTTTCCATATAAACAAAAAGCTTATTTCTCTAAAATGTTGTGCACAAATTTGTTTACATCCGTTAGTAAGCATTTCTCCTCTGCCAAGATAATCCATCCACCTGACAGGTGTGGTATATCAAGAAGCTGATTAAATAGCATGATCATTACACAAGTGCACCTTGTGCTGGGGACAATAAAAGGCCAATCTAAAATGTGCAGTTTTGTTACACAACACAATGCCACAGATGTCTCAAGTTTTGAGGGAGCGTGCAATTGGCACACTGACTGCAGGAATGTCCACCAGAGCTGTTGCCAGAGAATGTAATGTTAATTTCTCTGCCATAAACCACCTCCAACGTTGTTTCAGAGAATTTGGCAGTACGCCCAACTGGCCTGACAACCGAAGACCACGTGTATGGCGTCTTGTGGGCAAGCGGTTTGCTGATGTCAACGTTATGAGCAGAGTGCCCCATGGTGGCAGTCAGTTATGGTATGGGTAGACATAAGCTACGGACAACGAACACAATTGCATTTCATCTATGGCAATTTGAATGCACAGAAATACTGTGACAAGATCCTGAGGCCCATTGTCGCGCCATTCATCCGCCGCCATCACCTCAAGTTTCAGCATGATAATGCATGGCCCCCAGTCTCAAGGATCTGTACACAATTCCTGGAAGCTGAAAATGTTACAGTTCTTCCATGACCTTTATACTCACCAGACATGCCACCCATTGAGCATGTTTAGTATGCTCTGGATCGGCGCGTACAACAGCGTGTTCCAGTTCCCGCCAATATCCAGAAACTTCGCACAGCCATTAAAGAGGAGTGGGACAACATTCCACAGGCCACAATCAACAGCCTGATCAATTCTATGCAAAGGAGATGTGTTGTGCTGAATGAGGCAAAGGGTGGTCACACCAGACACTGACTGGTTTTCTGATCCACGCACCTACCTTTTTTAAGGTATCTGTGACCAACAGATGCATATCTGTATTCCCAGTCATGTGAAATCCATAGATTAGAGCCTAATTAATGTATTGCAATTGACTGATTTTCTTATATGAACTGTAACTCAGTAAAATCTTCGAAATTGTTCATGTTGCGTTTATATTTTTGTTCAGTATATATTCTAACATAGATAATCATGATGTGAGACTTATATAATTAAGTTTGATCCCCTTGGATAAATCTGAGAATAAAATAGTGAGTCATTCAATTAGACCTTATCTAAAGAGGCGTCACACAGCTCGATGGCAATGTATAGGAATTGCTTGTCCTTCTCAGTGCAGAAGTAGCGGACGACATGGGGATTGTAGTCCAATTTAACAAGCAAAACGACCTCTCGATCAGCATAGCTTTGTTTTGCTATTTCAATTCTCTTCACTGCAGCAGGACGCTTGTTGGCATCATCACAACGGAAGAAACCCCTGGAGGACAGCGGTAGAGAAAGATAAACATCTAGTCAATGAAGCGATCATAAGGACATTTTTGCTACAAAGAGCAAAGAGGGGTTTAGGGTTACAAACACATTTACACAATAATGTTTAAGCTGGTTTACCTGAACACAATTCCATCGGCACCTTTTCCAAGTTCGTCATTGGGGTAGTATGTGATCTTTCCAACTGATTCCTCATCTGAAGCTGTATCAAAATTACAACACTGTGTTAAGACAGAAAATACCACCCTACAGAACCTTTATTGTCAAGACACAGAACCTGATCTGTTAAATCATAGACTTATGAGAATTATACAGATGTAGGATCTTAATTTGAGCAAGTTTGATACCACAGGAAAATAATCCTGAAGCAACAGGAAAGGTGAATTATTATGTGGATTATAATTAACGGACATTTGTGTAAGGGTTGATACATTTTTTGTATGGGAAAATCAAGTCTGACATGTTAAAGTGAAAATAACAAACTTCAGAAGCCTTTTCAAACCTCAAATACACTACAAGTTTTACATTTCCTGCATTTCAGGAAAGTTCTCCTTCAACAGGGTGATCAAATGAAGATCCTACATCTAAAGTAGGCCTAGCTACAGTTACACATTGTATTAGCATAGCACCTATGTCACACCCTGGCTCTGGGACTCATTATGTTGAGCCAGGGTGTGTTCATTCTATGTGTTTATTTCTATGTTGGGGGTTCTAGTTTGTTGATTTCTATGTTTTGCCTGAGTGACTCCCAATCAGAGGCAACGAGTGTCAGCTGTTGGCTGGTTGTCTCTGATTGGGAGCCATATTTAAACTGTCTGTTTTCCCTTTGTGTTTGTGGGTTTTTGTTCCGTGTTCGGTCATTGTCACCGTGGACTTCACGAGTCGTTTCTTGTTTTGTATTTTGTTTGACACTTTAACTAATTAAAGTATGTTCGTTCAACACGCTGCGCATTGGTCTACTTCTCTCCCTGACGATCGTGACAGAAAAACCCACCATGCAACGACCAAGCAGCGTGTCTAGGGGCAGCTCTTGGGCTGGACATGGGAGGAAGCGCCGGGAGAAGAGACGGTGGAGGCGCGCCGTAGAGAGGAGCAACGGCGTGAACAGGGTCGTCGTCGGGCGGTCGAGAGGCAACCCCAGAAATTTTTTAGGGGGGGGGCACACGGCATGGACGACGGGGCTGACGGAGGCAAAAGAGGGGCGGATTCTGGAGGCCACCAGGTTACGGATACACCGCCCTGTACGTCCTGTGCGGATGCCTCACACAGAGTGTGTGAGGGTAGGCATTCAGCCAGGACGGGTTGTGGCCGCTCTTCACTCCAGGGCTCCTATCCGTCTCCACAGCCCGGTTCGGCCTGTCCCTGCTCCACGCACCAAGCCTACGGTGTGCGTCCACAGCCCGGCTCGGCCTGTCCCTGCTCCACGCACCAAGCCTACGGTGTGCGTCGCCAGCCCAGTCCGGCCAGTCCCTGCTCCACGCACCAAGCCTACGGTGTGCGTCGCCAGCCCGGTCCGGCCTGTCCCTGCTCCACGCACCAAGCCTACGGTGTGCGTCGCCAGCCCAGTCCGGCCAGTCCCTGCTCCACGCACCAAGCCTACGGAGTGCGTCGCCAGCCCAGCCCGGCCTGTCCCTGCTCCACGCACCAAGCCTACGGGGTGCGTCGCCAGCCCGGCCCGGCCTGTTCCTTTCACTCGCACCAAGTCTACGGTGCGCGTCGCCAGCCCGGCCCGGCCTGTTCCTGCCACTCGCACCAAGTCTACGGTGCGCGTCGCCAGCCCGGCCCGGCCTATTCCTGCCACTCGCACCAAGTATACGGTGCGCGTCGCCAGCCCGGCCCGGCCTGTTCCTGCCACTCGCACCAAGTATACGGTGCGCGTCGCCAGCCCGGCCCGGCCTGTTCCTGCCACTCGCACCAAGCCTACGGTGCGCGTCGCCAGCCCGGCCCGACCTGTTCCTGCCACTCGCACCAAGCCAGGGGTGCGAGTCGCCAGCCCGGCCCGGCCTGTTCCTGCCACTCGCACCAAGCCAGGGGTGCGAGTCGTCAGCCTGGTCCAGAACGTTCCTGCTACTCGCACCAAGCCAGGGGTGCGAGTCGTCAGCCTGGTCCAGCCCGTTCCTGCTACTCGCACCAAGCCAGGGGTGCGAGTCGTCAGCCTGGTCCAGCCCGTTCCTGCTACTCGCACCAAGCCAGGGGTGCGAGTCGTCAGTCCGGTGAGGCCCGTTCCTGCTACTCGCACCAAGTCAGGGGTGCGAGTCGTCAGTCCGGTGAGGCCCGTTCCGGCTCCACGCACCAAGCCGGGGGTGCGAGTCGTCAGTCCGGTGAGGCCCGTTCCGGCTCCACGCACCAAGCCAGGGGTGCGAGTCGTCAGTCCGGTGAGGCCCGTTCCGGCTCCACGCACCAAGCTAGGGGTGCGCATCGTCAGCCCGGTCCGGCCCGTTGCTGCTCCACGCACCAAGCCAGGGGTGCGCATCGTCAGCCCGGTCCGGTCAGTTCCTGCCTCACGCACCAAGCCAGGGGTGCGCGTAGTCAGTCCGGCACAACCCGTGCCTGGGTCATCGGTGCCAAATCAGGTACCGCTCAACTGCTCCACAACGGAGCTGAAGCTAGCCGCTCCTGCTACGTCCAGGTCAGCTCCAGCCAGCGGGGCCAGACCGGACCAGGGGTGCTATGGGGGGATTATTGGAGGGTGGTGGGCAAGGCCGGAGCCAGAACCGCCGCCGAGGAGGTATGCCCACCCAGCCCTCCCCTGTTTTGCTCTTTTTGAGGCGCGGTCGCAGTCCGCGCCTTTAGGGGGGGGTACTGTCACACCCTGGCTCTGGGACTCATTATGTTGAGCCAGGGTGTGTTCATTCTATGTGTTTATTTCTATGTTGGGGGTTCTAGTTTGTTGATTTCTATGTTTTGCCTGAGTGACTCCCAATCAGAGGCAACGAGTGTCAGCTGTTGGCTGGTTGTCTCTGATTGGGAGCCATATTTAAACTGTCTGTTTTCCCTTTGTGTTTGTGGGTTTTTGTTCCGTGTTCGGTCATTGTCACCGTGGACTTCACGAGTCGTTTCTTGTTTTGTATTTTGTTTGACACTTTAACTAATTAAAGTATGTTCGTTCAACACGCTGCGCATTGGTCTACTTCTCTCCCTGACGATCGTGACAACCTATTGCTGTGTTGCATTTAACATAATCTGTAAGGAGTATTGAACTGCATACATGCAGTTGTAAATTCGGAACCAAAAAGGGGGAATACTCTTTGGTCAATTGGATCTTTAGGTGTGGTTCTTGGGTGGTTATAACAAGCATGTCAAAATGGTTGAAAGCTCACCACGTTCAACTGATTGTCTTCCAGTCCCAGGCAATATATTGGAGGCAGGAGGTAATGCAGGACCTAAGATTGGATAACATCATACATACAGTGAGGTCCATAATTATTGGATCCCCTGATAAATATTAGCAAAAAATACAACAAAATAAATAATACAATACTGTAGCTTGCATAATATTGTATTAATTTTTACATTGTAGAATAATAGTAAAGACATCAAAACTATGAAATAACACATATGGAATCATGTAGTACCCAAAAAAGTGTTAAACAAATCGAAATTTATTTTATATTTGAGATTCTTCGAAGTAGCCACCCTTTGCCTTGATGACAGCTTTGCACACTCTTGGCATTCTCTCAACCAGCTTCATGAGGTAGTCACCTGGAATGCATTTCAATTAACAGGTGTGCCTTCTTAAAAGTTAATTTGTGGATTTTCTTTCCTTCTTAATGCGTTTGAGCCAATCAGTTGTGTTGTGAAAAGGTTGGGGGGTATACAGAAGATAGCCCTATTTGGTAAAAGACCAAGTCCATATTATGGCAAGAACAGCTCAAATAAGCAAAGAGAAACGACAGCCAATCATTACTTTAAGACATGAAGGTCAGTCAATACAGAACATTTCAAGAACTTTGGAAGTTTCTTCAAGTGCAGTCGCAAAAACCATCAAGCGCTATGATCAAACTGGATCTCATGAGGACCACCACAGGAATGGAAGACCCAGAGTTACCTCTGCTGCAGAGGATAAGTTCATTAGAGTTACCAGCCTCAGAAATTGCAGCCCAAATAAATGCTTCACAGAGTTCAAGTCACAGACACATCTCAACATCAACTGTTCAGAGGGGACTGTGTGAATCAGACCATCATGGTCGAATTGCTGCAAAGAACCCACTACTAAAGGACACCAATAAGAAGAAGAGACCAGCTTGGGCCAAGAAACACGAGCAATGGACATTAGACCGGTGGACATTTGTCCTTTGGTCTGGAGTCCAAATTGGAGATTTTTGGTTCCAACCGCCATGTCTTTTTGAGACACAGAGTGTGTGAACAGATGATCTCCGCATGTGTATTTCCCACCGTAAAGCATGGAGGAGGAGGTGTTATGGTGTGGGGGTGCTTTGCTGGTGACATTGTCTGTGATTTATTTAGAATTCAAGGCACACTTAACCAGCATGGCTACCATAGCATTCTGCAGCGATACGCCATCCCATCTGGTTTGGGCTTAGTGGGACTATCATTTGTTTTTTAACAGGACAATGACCCAAACCACCTCCAGGCTGTGTAAGGGCTATTTTACCAAGAAGGAGAGTGATGGAGTGCTGTATCAGATGACCTGGCCTCCACAATCCCCCGACCTCAACACAATTGAGATGGTTTTGGATGAGTCGGATGGCAGAGTTAAGGAAAAGCAGCCAACAAGTGCTCAGCATATGTGGGAACTCCTTCAAGACTGTTGGAAAAGCATTCCAGGTGAAGCTGCTTGAGAGAATGCCAAGAGTGTGCAAAGCTGTCATCAAGGCAAAGGGTGGCTATTTGAAGAATCTCAAATATAAAATATATTTTGATTTGTTTAACACTTTTTTGGTTACTACATGATTCCATATGTATTATTTCATAGTTTTGATGTCTTCACTATTATTCTAAAATGTAAAAACATTTTAAAATAAAGAAAAACCCTTGAATGAGTAGGTGTGTCCAAACTTTTGACTGGTACTGTATATACTAATACAATTGCTCAGATAAATATATTTGGATTAACATGTAATGAAAAAAATGTAAAAGAAATAGAGTTCAAACGACACATAGCCTTTTTCTTTAATGTTTTATGAAATTGGAGAACACATTGGGAGGGATCTATCTTAGACCATTCGTCCATACAGAATCTTCTTTCCAGATCCTTGATATCCTTCTTTTTCTCTTACGGACGGCCCTCTTCAATTCAAACCACAGGTTTTCAATGGGGTTCAAGTCCGGAGACTGAGATGGCTATTTCAAAATGTGGATTTTGTAGTCAATTAACCATTTCTTTGTGGAGTTGGATTATTGCTTGGTTTAATTGTCTTGCTGGAAGATCCACTTGCGGCCAGGTGTCAGCCTCCTGGCAGAGGCAACCAAGTTTTGGGCCAAAATGGCCTGGTCCTTGGTAAAGTTCATTATGCCATTGACCTTAACCAGGGCCCCAGGACCAGTGGAAGCAAAATAGCCCCAGAACATCTAAGATCCCCACCATATTTTACCGTAGGTATAAGGTACTTTTCTGCATATGCTTCTATTTTTCAACGCCATACCCACCACTGGTGTGTGTGGCCAAAGAGCTCTATTTTCACATGAATGGGAACTAGTTATATGGTTAGATAACATGAAAATAGAGCTCAACCACACCAGTGGGTGGTTTGGTGGTAAAATATGGTGGTGGATCTTTGATGTTATGGGGCTAATTTGCTTCCACTGGTCCTGGGGCCCTTAAGGTCAACGGCATCATGAACTTTACCAAGTACCAGGACATATTAGCCAAAAACCTGGTTGCCTCTGCCAGGAGGCTGACACTTCCAGTATGATAATAACCCCAAGCACTAATCAAAATCAATTGACCACAAAATCAACACTGTGCAATGGCCATCTCAGTCTCCTGTAGTTTGAATTGAAGAGGGTAGTCCATAAGAGCAGGCAAAGGATATCAAGGATCTGGAAAGATTCTGAATGGAGGAATGGTTTAAGATCTTTCACAACGTGTTCTCCAATCTCATAAAACATTTTAGTTAAAGGCTCAGTGTAATTATCTTCGCAAGGGGAGGGTGCTAGAGTATTGAAAACAGGGGTGCCAATCATTTTTACCCCTATCTTTTTTAGAAATGTTTTGTATTACTTGTTAAAAATATATGTAATACCTTGCTAAAACCAAGTATAGAGTTTATTTGTTATAATTCATTGGTATTAGATTTAAAAGGTGATCGAATAGCTTCTGATTTGTAATGTCATTAATGCATTTATTTTGAAGCAATGTTTTTAAAAAAATGTACAAGTGAATAGGTTGGTTTACTTTTAAGTTTAAGTTTCCCACGTATCTCGTTAAAGTTTTGACCAATGAGGTAACTTGTTAAGTTGTGGCCAATGGGAGAGTGGACTGGTTGCTGGGAAAGAAAAGAGAGGGAAAGGCTGAAAGAAGGGAGAGAAGTTAGTGGGGTTGGTGAAGGAAAAAACGACCAAAGGAAACGATAAAGAGAGAACAAAACCATACCTACAGAGTTTTTTTAAAGAGAAATCCTGATTTTATTTCTATAAGAAAGTGTTTATTATTTCGTTAAGAAAGACCTAGTGGAGACTGAAGCTGCCGTCGCATTGTGGAGACATTCGACATTCTATCTAGAGGTTAGCCTAGCATCGTGCAAGACATGGAGAGAATTGCTTGTGACGATCAACGAGTTCGGGTTTCCAACGGATGTCTGTTGCTGCTACGGAGTACTGGCTGCATTGATAGCTGTGATCGCTGTGGATCTTGTGAGGACACCTGCACGGAACTACTATATTTTGCTGAGGCATTATCTACAAGTAGTGAGTAACTACAAATGTGGGGTGGACTTCGGGACTTTATGTATGTCGTCATTTTTTTATGAGCTCCAACGCGCGCCCAGGGTTTAAGCAAGCTTGCAAATAATTTGGACATGGGTTGTGGAAAAATCATTGGGGTTTATTATTTTTATTTCTTCTGATGTGATACATTGAAAATTTGATTAATATAGATCTTGAACCTTATGTCTGTTGTATTGGTGGAGTCATTTACTGTTTCAGTTTCATTTAATGCATGGGAAAGCATATCCTTATAATAATAACCAAGTCTATAATCATTCTATCTGAAGTTAATACCCTATTTGTCATTCACCCTAGCAAGTTTACAATAGGGATTCTTATTGGAGATGTCCTTCTCACCTAATATCCCATGCTGTTCAGATATTCTAAATAAGGTAATATTGTGAGAGTCAAATTCGAGCCTGGTGAGAGGGTTACATATATATATTTCTCTAAACAATTGTATTAGTATAAAATAATACAATTCCCTACTTTTTTTTTTTTTTACTTACCATATAGCTCAGTATTTGTATTATTTATTTAATACAGTCTCAAGATTGCCAATAATGATGGATCTGACTGCATATAACGCACAGAATCATGTCATTGAGAACTACCATACCATATCCACAATGGTGGATATATACCATACATTTTATTATTGCCAATAAAGATAAGCCTAAAGAGGACCTGAGAGAGAAATTATAAAATACAACACCTGGCTGAAGATGTCCTCTAGATCTCTCTGAAGAAGAATATCCTTGAACTTCAAAAGGGCCCCATAGAGGGAGGGAGGGAGGGAGGGAGGGAGGGAGGGTGGGAGGGAAGGAAGGAGGGAAAGAGAAAAAGACAGATCTTTTGAGGAATTGTTATTTCATAAAGGGCAGGTGTCTGTATATTACAGACTGGGTGATGAAGTAATTAGAAATGAAAACAGACAAACATTGAGAGTATAATGGTCAGTTATGGTCTGCCTCTTTTGTCTGTCAAGACAACCACTTACAGAGACTGACAGATTTCACTTTAGTTGTGACTTGGTTAAATGTTTACTTTACCTTAATAAAACTAACATCAGAGAGTAGTTTATGTTCTTAAACACAGAATGGGGGAAAGTGTGACAAATGGTAAATGTGTAAAAAGTTAATATATTCTACATAACAGTAGTCTTGTAAATTGCACCACTATCAAGAGGAAGAGAGAGGAATGTACCCAGATCGTTGACTAGAAAACTGTTATGTTTCAGCAGACTCCTGTAGAAGGCTGATTTCACTTTTGGCCCTCCTGACTGTAAGAATGGGTACAACGTTCTCATCTTGTCCTGGCTGGTCTGGGAAGTGTGAATATTAGAGTACTCCTCATCACTGATCATGTCATTGCTGAGCAGATCATCTGCTATAGGCATCACCGTGTGGACCCTCTGGATGAGAATAGCCATGTGTCTATCCACAAAATCGGCACCTGATAGTCAGGTTAGAAAAGAGAGAGTTAAAATTATCAAGCCAATATTAGACAATCACACTTGATTCCCACAATCACGTAAATGTGGCCCTAAGTGGACAAGACTAAACAGGTACGAAGCTGGGAAGTTTTGTTTTCATTTATGTTCGAAACACACAACATAAAAACTACATTATAGTATGTGTCCATGTAATATCAATGGTGTAGTATTAATGCTCTCTAGCAGTATGATTCTTGCTACCTTTATGTCATTTATTATCATTACTCACAATGTGAATCTTTTCGGACCCTTTTGATTTCATAACTACAAAACATGGTAGACAAATTATATACAAATACAGCAATTTCACTACAGCAGTTGTAGAAAAAGTAAATGACAAACATTTTTTTGTTGATCCCAAAGCAAATATGTCACATTACCATCTGAAGACATGGCAGCAAACTAAGAATGGAGAGAAGCAGCTTGCCCTGAAGAGGGAGAGAGAGAAAGAGAAGGAGAGAGGGATAGAAAGAGAGAGGGAGACAAAGAGAGAAAGAGAGGGAGAGAAAGAGAGGGAGAGGGAGAGAGAGTGAAAGGGAGAGAGGGAGAGAAAGAGACGGAGAGAAAGAGGGAGAGAGGGAGAGAAAGAGAGCATTTCAAGTTACCTTTTGAAACTTTAGCAGCACAAAGAAAGAGGAAATGACTTGATGTTCCACTTTCATTCTTAACAGAGCTACATATATCCAAAATTAGTATACCATAAAAGTTATTTGTTGGCTCCCTATAAAGACACTGTTCATCTTCATTTCAATAATTTGTAAACAGTGTTTATTTTGAACATAAAACAATGCATTAAACATTTCTCAAGGGTAGAAAAAAGCTTATAGGCTATCCCCTACAACTGATAAGCTAGTTTTACACACTCTGGTACTGTATGTTCTTTACGTTCACTTCCTTTTTCATCTCACTAATCTTCCCTCAACAATGTTAACTTTTTGTCTCCAGATATCTGTCTCTGAGTCATGTTTTATGGTCTCATGAGGGTCTTCTACTCCAAGCTACTAACTTCCTGAGTACACCCAGAAATATCCAGTTTAATCCTGTCCTCATTTCACATATAACCATATCCTTGACCTTGACCCTTTTTAAAACTTTGATAAACCTTGTCAAAATCCAAATGCATACTGTATAAAGAGATCCTACTTACGGTGCCAGATAACTTCTTCTGCTCTCGCTAATGTTGCTAGCTTGTGACACGTACACCGAATGAGGATATATTTCCGCTGAAAATGGGATGGGTTAGAGGCATTTCCTAAAAGTTCAGGTCTACCAGTAACACTAACAATGCAGGAAGTTATTTAATGTACTAAGGGAATGGAGAATGTAGAGAAGTCATACGCCCTTAACCTAAACCAGGAAGTTAGAAACACAGTATGAGTGAGAAAACAGATGTACACTACAGATGTACAGCACGCTGTAGAGTAGCTACTATACATAAAACAGCAGGCCATAAGGCCGTATTCAGTGAAAAAACTATAACAAGAATAAGTCAACAAGTTTCTATGGACAATGAGAAAAGCATGTTTGAAATTATTATACATTCGAGTTTCTTTATTTCACTCAGTAGGCCTGATGTTTGTATTGTTGAGTGAATAACATAAGTCCAAATCTGCATTCCTGCAGGACCGGAAGATTGATGATGATTTTGACTTATCCCAGAAAACCGATATCTGGGTTTCATTGAGAAGAGGCCAACTGTCTCTAGTCCACTATTCTGCTGATGAATACTCATTTCAGCAACCCCTTCATGAAAGGTTATCTAAGGGTCCAGATAGTATTACAGTACTCACTCCAGTGCTACCCTGGATCATGCCTGTCCTGCATTGACATCTGCTGGCCTTAGGAGGACGATACTATACTACCAAGAGAAGAGTCCTACTTTGCTGTACATGGCCTTGAGGTCAGAGACGGAAGAGGAAGCGAGACATCACACTCCCTCCTTTGTTTCTGGTTCACATACAGTCAATGAACTAAGCAGACCAGACCCAGCTGCTAATACATTGTTGCCTGTGGGAGAGCCACCCCTTAAGTAGACTGGAACTGTAACAATTATTTTCAATGGTAAACGGCCTGAGTGGGAGATCTTCATTCATCCATCATCTTTGCTCGAGGCCTCTAGGGCTGCGCTCAGGAGAGTGGAATGATCTGAACGTTGTAGATATAAATTTTTTGTATAGAGCTGGCATCATTCCCCATTCTACACTGAACCGAAATATATAAACGCAACATGCAACAATTTCTAAGATTTTATTGAGTTACAGTTCATATAAGGAAATCAGTCAATAGAAATACATTAATTAGGCCCTAATCTATGGATTTCACATGACTGGGCAGGGGCGAACTCATGGGTGGGCCTGGGATGGCATAGGGCCTGGCTCACACTTGGGAGCCAGGCCCAGTCAAAATGAGTTTTTCCCCACAAAAGGGCTTTATTACAAATAGAAATACTCCTCAGTTTCAGCAGATGTCTGGGTGGCTGGTCTCAGACTATCCCGCAGGTGAAGAAGCCGGATGTGGAGGTCCTGGGCTGGCGTGATTACACGTGGTCTGCGGTTGTGAGGCCAGTTGGACATTCTGCCAAATTCTCTTAAACAACGTTGGAGGCGGCTTATGGTAGAAAAATTTACATTCAATTCTCTGGCAACAGCTCTGGTGGGCATTCCTGCAGTCAGCATGCTCCCTCAAAACATGAGACATATGTGGCATTGTGTTGTGTGACAAAACTGCACATTTTACAGTGGCTTTTATTGCCCTCAGCACAAGGTGCACCTGTGTAATGATCATGCTGTTTAATCAGTTTCTTGATATGCCAGTCAGGTGGATGGATTATCTTGGCAAAGGAGAAATGCTCACTAACAGGGATGGAAACAAATTTGTGCACAACTTTTGAGAGAAATAAGCTATTAGTGCGTATGGAAAATGTATGTGATCTTTTATTTCAGCTCATGAAACATGGGACCAACACTTTACATGTTGCATTTATATTTTTGTTCAGTATACATCATTGGACAGGAAAAGTCGCAACGCTCGCTCACTATAAAAACATGGGTGTTTTATTAGACAAGTTTAAAAGATTGACGTTTCGGCCAAGGCATGGGGAAGACAATTAGGGAGAACTCTCTTCAGCTGGTGGTGCTAATGAGAGACAGTGTGGTAGACCATACAGGTTGTTACTCAGGGTGTGCTGTGGTCAATGTCTCCACCTAGTGATGAAAAACAGAAGTAAAACCAACAAACTGGAAAACTGGACAAGCTTTTTTCAACTACAGTAGGTGTAATTGATATGCAACCATTACTATATAATTTGTTGAATATGTTGGGCTTTGAAAAATAAACAACATGGCTAAGCAAAACTAGGGATGACAACAAAAAACATCAAAAGCTTAGGCAATGACAGAGAACCATGTCTTTTCTACATAATATACAATATTTCAGCACTGTATTTCCATCTGAACATTCTGTAAAGTCGAACTCGACCCAGATGGATTCCATAACAGCACAGTGCACACATTAATCATCTATGTAATTAGTTTGTATTCTGAACATAAATATATTAGATATTAATTATACCTTACGACAACAGATAGTCATAATTAATCATCCCTTAGTATTACAAGTTTGTGTCATAATAAAAACACATTTGATCCATAAACCTTACTGAGCCTTGTGATAAGACCTCTTACCAGGATGAGCAAGGTCTTCCACTTCCTCTGGTGGAATCATACACTTATAAGGGTTGGAAGCAGCTGTTAGAAGGCTTTCTCCATAACAAAGGTCCCCAAAATTCTGAAGGTCAAAGGTTAACACCGCTTCACTGTGTAGTGGTCTGTGACTGTGTTACTGCACATCCTGACAACAATGCAGTGGATTGTGAATGTTAGCGTTGGACTTATCAATTGTGAAATACAGTTCTCATGACAAAATGTAAATCGTTTGGAACTCGTGAGAGCATGTAAGCATGCCATTATCATGTGCAATTAGTCAAGTCATGTAGGACAAGAAAACGATCACACTTTTGAGCAGTGTGCATCTTATCTGAAGTGTGCTGAGGATGAAATTAACAAAGATACGCTGTTAATAATGTACCACAACAATGATTGGTCATAAGTCTACTATATTTTATCTGCATGCTTCATATTGAGGAATATACTTGAGTTTGCAACCACAGGGTAAAATATCCAGCTATGCCACTATGAGGAGATGCTCACTTATGTGTTGTTGAAATGTAGTGGACACACCTTGGCTTCATGCCATTTTGTTCTTCAGAGAAGGAATGGGACATCTAGCTGATGTTGACCACTGAAGTTATGTTGACAAATCAAGAGTTCAATTCAGTAGACTTTACACAATAGACACTGTCCATCGCAGTTCTAAGTATGTTAGAAGCATTGCACTTCAGCCTTTATACCTGCTTGTGGGTAGTTTGAACTCAACTGTTTTTATTATGTGGTCCTATGGATTCATGGTACTACCATTACATTTTCTATTTTGTAATTTTTCTATGCATGAATTTCATGTTACTATTTTAGCATTGTTCACACATTTGCTAAAAGAAAGTCACACAATAACCATTCAAAACAAACAAAGTTATAGCAACTTTAATAGAAATGAGTTTAAATTACTATAACTCAATTTTTGCATTAGTCATTCTTCATACAAAAAGACAATATTAAAAATGGTTACAAAAAAATACATATAATTAAAATCTGGAAATCCTATAGAGGGGGACATTTCCCTGGGGAATATATCAATAAATGAATGAGAAGTGCAAAGTTGTTTAGTCATCAAATGCCACATTTTGGGCACAATACATATAATATGACATAGGCTTGCTGCATAAGACAAGATATAATAAATATACAATATTCTTCAAGAATAAAACAAAAACAATAGATCTCATGACTGCATAACTTGACAACACATTCCTTCATATTTTCAGTCCACATAATGGTTGAAAATTTGGTCCAAATGGACCAACTACACTTGCAACAAAGTATTCAAACAGAAATAACTTTACACTTATGGTATGCAAAATATCCATACAATTGCCTTGTTAGCTACATTTTTTACAGGCAGCATTTAATTCTGTCTTTTGACAAACTGAAGGGGGAAAAAACAAACATACATATATATATACATACACACACACACACAAAATGTGACATCTTCCTCTGACAATGCGCTCTAAAACCTACTCATTCATTGGTATATTGGTCCAAAATGTTCAGGAGATATTCAATAACAGACTGCTTTGTCTGGCAGCATCTGTCTAATTGGCCTCTCAGCCTTCTATTACAACCCTACTTTTTCACAGTGATGTTGTACGCAACAGGTCCTCTAAATGTGAACCCCAAGTAAAATGTGACGTTTTCATTGCCATAAGGCACCGAGGCTGCTTTCAGATGAGGAATAGTGAACTTCTTCTCTTTTGGGCCATCAAGGTAGACTATCCCAACTTCTGTCCACCCAGACACAGTCCTGAGCAGTTTTGCCATCTCTGGCATTTTCCACACCTCCCCACTGAACCACTTCATTCTCTTTTCTGAGATGGAGAGGACCTTTGTAATCGTTTCAACCTTGCTCTTGTGGACAATCTTGTCCCATCCAATCTTGTCCATTACTCAGAAAAAAGTGGGTGTAAATCCTTGTCTTCCTTTGTGGTATATCCTTCATTTTGGTCCAGTAGCTTCTTTTGAGGTACTCAACAGGTGATAGAACAATGTTGTATTTGGTCTCCTTTTCAGGGTCAGTGTCATGATCTTCTGGCCAGAAGAGTAAGATGAGCAGGAACAGAGCACTGGACAGGCACTTCCGTTTCTCTGTTGGGAACTGCTGACTGAGTTTCTGAAGGTCTTTCAGAGCAGCCAATTTTGGAGATTGGGTTGTAAGGCAAACTCAGAGCAATATGAGCTGCTATGTAATTGACAAGATCCATTTGATCCAACCTGGCCATCAGAGGGTTGCTGGGGTAGAGAGATATGATATTCTCTAGGACTTTGACTTGGTCTCTTTCTTTCTGGTCAGTCAGAAGGGAGAAGATCGAAGTTATATTCCCCCCACCAAGCCGGTAAATGATCATGCGTTTCATGAAAGGAGATAAACTGCCAGGGTTCGACTGGCACAGCTTTGGGGCAATACCGAGAGAGGCATCACTGAAATATTTACCATACTCAGAAGATTTTCTTACCAACCATGTCATTGGATGGCTTATTTTCATCTCAGAGCTTTCAATCGTCTCCTCCTCATCTGCACTGATGTCTGTCTGGAAATAACTCAGGTCTTCCGAGATCCACTCCAGGGCTTAATGTAGTGTCATTTGAAGGCCTTTCAAATTGCTGTGAAAATTCTCCCAGGGCTTCTTCACTTCCTCAGGAATGTAATCGGTGAGCAGGTACTTCATACATTCTGAGTGGCCATACGTTTTTCTTGAGAAAACACGCAATGAGAATACGAGCTTCAACAGACTGCAGCCAACTTCAACTGCAGCAAAAAAGCCACTGTTGTTCATGTTCTCAAGTTTCAACAGCATCTGCTGTATTTTCTGCCGTTTTTGGTACTTTCTCAATTGCTTTACACTTGGCGTTGAACCATCTTCTGTACACCTGGCCTTTTGTGTCAAGAATGTAAGAGTTGTTAGGCATTTGTTTTGCTGCAATCTCTACCCAATCTTTTGCCTCTTCAAACTTCTCATGGGAGTAATTCAGGCGAGCAAGTTGCTGAGCAAAGAATGCATCTTTGTTGAAGCGTTTGTATGCCTCCTTGAGGAGCTCGATTGCCTTGTCAGGGGTTTCCTTTTCACTCACATGTTCAATGAGAGGAGAGAAAAAGCTGTTTGATTCATCACCTTTACTTACTCTGCAACGTCTCATGAACAGGGTTCGCAAAAACTTTGCATAATCTTCTTTTCCAAATCTGTGCTCAAAAAGCACATCCTCGTGGAGAAGATCCATGGCCAACCCACTTTGCTGCTTTTGGTCACCGAGGAGCTGCTGAAGGATTTCCTTTGCAACAAGTGGATGAATGATTCGAATTGATTCAATGTGTGTCTTGTCATCTCTAAGATGTATAAAGACAAGTTTGGCCTGCTCACTCAGTGATCTCTCAAAAGCATGCTGGCGGAATCGATCCATATGAATGGTGAATACTAGCAGAGCTTCGCAATGGGACTGGGAAATGAATTAGTTCTGAACATAAGTGTTGAGCAATGCCACATACCGAATGAGCCGAGTGACGACTGCTTCATGATCGATGCCTTGGAGCAAATGTTTCACAAATTGCGCAACATACTCAACAATCTTCTGGTGTTCAAATTCTTCACTCATCAAGATGAATGTCAAAATGAATTCTGGCTGGTACTGTTCTTCAAGCTGCTGCCGTTTCCCAGCAAACTGTCTCTTCTCTTCTTTTGATTGTTTGTGAGTGACAGCTACATTCTGCAATGGCGAGACCTTGCACATCTTCTCTGGGTTATGTGATCGTCTGCAGCTCAACAGAATGAAACACGGTGTTCCTTGTTTGATTTTCTTAGTGTTGATGGAAAACTCCAATTAATTCCTCATCTCATCAAGGTATTCTTTGTCACAGTCCTCTATCAACAGGAGCACTGGGAGACATTTCTCAGGATCTTTTTCCTCATACTCTCGGAGTTGAACAGCATGTTCAGATACAGTGGCTGCTGAGTATGACGGCTTCACAACAGCACATCTTAGGTCTTTCCTCTTGTTCCACAGCACCTGCCTTCCCACTGTGCTTCCCACCGCTTCCTGGGTGATGGTAGATGTTGATACTGTTCACAGGTCTGTCTACACCCCATTTCATAGTGTCAGTGAGAAGTTCGGAGACCTACCTGTATGCATCCCTTTGAATCACTTCTCCAACAAACGTATTCTCTGCAAGCCAGAAACGCAACCAGGTCACTCTTTCCCCGTGGTAAAACTGTCTTTCAATGTTTTCTTTTTCTACTTTGATGTAATCGTCGCTTGTTTCATCACAATGATTGACACTCAGGATTTCCAAGGAATACATCCTTTTCTCCTCACGAGTTTCAAGAAGGCACTGTCCTTTCAGGTAGATAGGCAAGTGTTTGGTGTCGCATCAACATGGCTCATTTTCATCCCGACAACACTGGAACGGTTCACAGTTTCTGTTCCACATAAACCCTCTGCAAAACATTGCCATTTCTGATAGTTGTCCTCAGATTCTGAGATGCAAATGATGTCTTCATGACCTTCCATATCTGTGAAGAACTCATAGAAGGTGTGCAAAAGTGGTTTCTCAACTGGGGAGGTGAGAAGGAAGACCACAGTGAATGTTCCTTTTGGCAAGATCTGTTTGCAGATCAGTGACACGGATTCCCTGAGGAGTGTCATCTTCGTTTTAATCCATGTCATTTCATCAGAGGGGTTTTCATTCCCTTTGTAATCGCTTCGTCCATTGCAAAAGATCCAGCTAGTTTGCTCAAACAAATGCAAATGGCTCACAAAATCGGCAATGCTTATACCACTTGGTATTTTGTAGTTCTGCATGAAATGTATATTTGCAGCATGGTGCTGGATGTTTTTACTGCACAGTCCTGACAGCTTGGAATCTGGGTAGAAGTCGAACACACAGAAAATGTTCATGTTGAGCAAGAAGTCAATGTTGCTCAAGTCATCTGGTTTGAACTTGTTAGTGACAAGAATGTACCATTTCTCCTTTTCAATGAATTTCTTGCCACTGGTTATCAGCATGGTGAGTTTCCTTCCAAGGTCTTGGCAGATGTCTGGGGTGTTAACATATCGACAATGCTCAGCCTCTTCTCTTCGGCCATCTCTGTCTGACTCGCTGGTAGAAGTAATTTTGATCACTCACTGGCTCGGTTTTAGATCCTACCCTGCGATAGATTGTTTCCTTTTCATGCTCAATCTTGTTAGAGGACTCTTTGAAGTTCGGCAGACGAACAGAGTACACTCGGTTCTTAACAATGCTTATGGAGGGAACAATATCAACCTCCACCACATATCTTTGTTCTGTGCTATACATGTCCATGACCTCTATAAACCGAGGTGGGTCGAATGCACTGTCGCACATGCTCGCTGTCAGAGAGAGAGAAACTCCTCTCAATGTGATCCAATGCATCAACATATATATCTTTCTCAGAAACCGGAACACCGATTATCTCGCCATGCACATAGCCTGCATCATCCCTACTGTCCATCACACCAAAGTGTATTGTAACATTTTATCTGATATTCATGCAGCCAGCACCGAATTTGAGAACCTCTTTGGAAAATTTTGCCTGTAGTCTTGTGCGGTTCAATTTGGCAGCATTGTCAAGTGACTTGTACTCATGACAGGGAGAGATCAGATCAAATACACCAGATTCAGGTTGCAGAACACTATGTTTGACATATGTGAAATCAATGCCTTCTTTGTCAAATGGCCATGGCTTGCAGTCTCTCTTTGTGGTTAACACATTGTCCTCAGATTGTCCTTGATGAGTTTGTTTCTCTTCCTCTGAAATACCTTGATCTGTCTCTGGAATCTGGTGAGCTGATCCCTGCTTCTTCTTTTTACTTCCCTTTTCACTATTGTTGCTACTTTGAGGCTTTTCCTTGCCCTGAGTTCTCTGTTTTGTGTCTACAAGCTCATTTCTCTTTCTGATGATCAACAGAGCTGGTCCTGATTTCATTCCAATCTCTTTTCTCAGATAGTCCTCAGTCAGTACAAGGAGGATTCTCCCATCTACCTCTTCCTCATAAAGTTTTTTGATGTATTGCTCCTTCACTCCAATAGTTCTTAACCAGGAGCTCACGTGGGAGTCAGTCCATTTTTCAACAGGCAGTTCATCAAGTTCCTCTGCTGGGGGGGTACACTACCAGTCAAAAGAAGATAGCCCTATTTGGTAAAACAGCTCAAATAAGCAAAGAGAAACGACAGTCCATCATTACTTTAAGACATGAAGGTCAGTCAATACGGAAAATTAAGAACTTTGAAAGTTTCTTCAAGTGCAGTCGCAAACACCATCAAGTGCTATGATGAAACTGGCTCTCATGAGGACCGCCACAGGAATGGAAGACCCAGAGTTACCTCTGCTGCAGAGGATAAGTTAATTAAAGTTACCAGCCTCAGAAATTGGAGCCCAAATAAATGCTTCACAGAGTTCAAGTAACAGACGCATCTCAACATCAACTGTTCAGAGGGGACTGTGTGAATCAGGCCTTCATGGTCAAATTGCTGCAAAGAAACCACTACTAAAGGGCACCAATAATAAGAAGAGACTTGCTTGGGCCAAGAAACACGAGCAATAGACATTAGAACAGCGAAACATTTGAGATTTTTGGTTGCAACTGCCATGGCTTTGTGAGACGCAGTGTGGGTGAATGGATGATCTCCGCATGTGTAGTTCCCACCGTAAAGCATGGAGGTGGTGTTATGGTGTGGGGGTGCTTTGCTGGTGACACAGTCTGTAATTTATTTAGAATTCAAGGCACACTTAACCAGCATGGCTACCACTGCATTCTGCAGGGATACGCCATCCCATCTGGTTTGGACTATCATTTGTTTTTCAACAGGACAATGACCCAACACACCTCCAGACTGTGTAAGGGTTATTTTACCAAGAAGGAGTGATGAGTGCTGCATCAGATGACCTGGCCTCCACAATCCCCCAACCTCAACACAATTGAGATGGTTTGGGATGAGTCGGATGGCAGAGTGAAGGAAAATCAGCCAACAAGTGCTCATCATATGTGGGAACTCCTTCAAGACTGTTGGAAAAGCATTCCAGGTGAAGCTGGTTGAGAGAATGCCAAGAGTGTGCAAAGCTGTCATCAAGGCAAAGGGTGGCTATTTGAAGAATCTCAAATACAGTGGGGGAAAAAAGTATTTAGTCAGCCACCAATTGTGCAAGTTCTCCCACTTAAAAAGATGAGAGAGGCCTGTAATTTTCATCATAGGTACACGTCAACTATGACAGACAAAATGAGAAAAAAATATCCAGAAAATCACATTGTAGGATTTTTAATGAATTTATTTGCAAATTATGGTGGAAAATAAGTATTTGGTCAATAACAAAAGTTTCTCAATACTTTGTTATATACCCTTTTTTGGCAATGACACAGGTCAAACGTTTTCTGTAAGTCTTCACAAGGTTTTCACACACTGTTGCTGGTATTTTGGCCCATTCCTCCATGCAGATCTCCTCTAGAGCAATGATGTTTTGGGGCTGTCGCTGGGCAACACGGACTTTCAACTCCCTCCAAAGATTTTCTATGGGGTTGAGATCTGGAGACAGGCTAGGCCACTCCAGGACCTTGAAATGCTTCTTACGAAGCCACTCCTTCGTTGCCCGGGCAGTGTGTTTGGGATCATTGTCATGCTGAAAGACCCAGCCACGTTTCATCTTCAATGCCCTTGCTGATGGAAGGAGGTTTTCACTCAAAATCTCACAATACATGGCCCCATTCATTCTTTCCTTTACACGGATCAGTCGTCCTGGTCCCTTTGCAGACAAACAGCCCCAAAGCATGATGTTTCCACCCCCATGCTTCACAGTAGGTATGGTGTTCTTTGGATGCAACTCAGCATTCTTTGTCCTCCAAACACGACGAGTTGAGTTTTTACCAAAAAGTTATATTTTGGTTTAATCTGACCATATGACATTCTCCCAATCCTCTTCTGGATCATCCAAATGCACTCTAGCAAACTTCAGACGGGCCTGGACATGTACTGGCTTAAGCAGGGGGACACGTCTTGCACTGCAGGATTTGAGTCCCTGGCGGCGTAGTGTGTTACTGATGGTAGGCTTTGTTACTTTGGTCCCAGCTCTCTGCAGGTCATTCACTAGGTCCCCCCGTGTGGTTCTGGGATTTTTGCTCACCGTTCTTGTGATCATTTTGACCCCACGGGGTGAGATCAAGATCGAGGGAGATTATCAGTGGTCTTGTATGTCTTCCATTTCCTAATAATTGCTCCCACAGTTGATTTCTTCAAACCAAGCTGCTTACCTATTGCAGATTCAGTCTTCCCAGCCTGGTGCAGGTCTACAATTTTGTTTCTGGTGTCCTTTGACAGCTCTTTGGTCTTGGCCATAGTGGAGTTTGGATTGTGACTGTTTGAGGTTGTGGACAGGTGTCTTTTATACTGATAACAAGTTCAAACAGGTGCCATTAATACAGGTAACGAGTGGAGGACAGAGGAGCCTCTTAAAGAAGAAGTTACAGGTCTGTGAGAGCCAGAAATCTTGCTTGTTTGTAGATGACCAAATACTTATTTTCCACTATAATTTGCAAATAAATTCATTAAAAATCCTACAATGTGATTTTCTGGAAAAAAAATTCTCAATTTGTCTGTCATAGTTGACGTGTACCTATGATGAAAATTACAGGCCTCTCTCATCTTTTTAAGTGGGAGAACTTGCACAATTGGTGGCTGACTAAATACTTTTTTTCCCCACTGTATATTTTGATTTGTTTAACACCTTTTCGGTTACTACATGATTCCATATGTGTTATTTCATAGTTTTGATGTCTTCACTATTATTCTACAATGTAAAAAAAATAGTAAAAAATAAAGAAAAACCCTTGAATGAGCAGGTGTGTCCAAACTTTTGACTGGTACTCTATATTAATGATGATTTTATATTCTACTAATACTTATCATTACACCAATATCTCCAAAACGGTTTCTTACCCATTATTCCACTTCAGTCTACGAGCTCACTGCTGAGTAGGGTCTTGTATAATCAGTCTGAGGAAAATAGTAACTATTAATCATTTGTCATCTTTTATTTTGCAAATCAACCACATGATCTTAAAATAGCACTGCTTGTTTTTCTACTGTGTGTTGCTCAGTTAAACATATTTGACATTTAACATAAACTACAAAAGTAGTACAGCATTTAGTAGGCTGTGAATAGAAAACAAACCGTTCTTGTGCTGAGTGTTGCAACAGAGGACAGACGATTTTTATGCGCTACGTGCTTCAGCACTCTGCTGTCCCGTTTAGGGCTCTGGCAGTCATGACATTTCGTCAGCCGGTAATTGTCAATGCAACTAAGTGCCGGTCTCACGGTAATTAACATAAACACATTTAGCATCTCCTGGCTTCCATGCGTCGCCTACAAGCCACTGACGCAGACCTTTGGAACATCTACATTTTAAAAAGTCGAATAAAACCATAGCCTACACCATCACAATAAATCCCTTATGTATTTTCGACAGGTCTAAATAAACATGATATGAAGAAAATGTAGTCTATTTCAGATAAACATTATAGCATACCGAGTTGTGTTAGGCCCTGATCTGGCTATGTCGTATGGCTGTGGGCTACACTAGTTAATTTGGCAAACAAGATTTGCTTCGAATTCTGTGGCATTATTTTATATTATGACGAATACAATTGAACATAATAAAATAGAAAGGATGTTTTGTCCAAAAGATTTGACGGAGTACGCACATGCGGCTATTCTGTTGAGCGCTTAACAAAGAAACAGGTTTTCCTATATGCTTAATTTAGAGTTATTTATGCAGCTTTAGTTGTGATCAAAACATATAGCCAAATGTTTATATTTGTCATATACAGTGGGGGAAAAAAGTAACATCTCCCACCGTAGTCACAGTGAAGCCAAGCGCTACATACGCTTCGTCATACAGTGGGGAAAAAAAGTATTTAGTCAGCCACCAATTGTGCAAGTTCTCCCACTTAAAAAGATGAGAGAGGCCTGTAATTTTCATCATAGGTATACGTCAACTATGACAGACAAATTGAGAAAACAAAATCCAGAAAATCACATTGTAGGATTTTTTAATAAATTTATTTGCAAATTATGGTGGAAAATAAGTATTTGGTCACCTACAAACAAGCAAGATTTCTGGCTCTCACAGACCTGTAACTTCTTCTTTAAGAGGCTCCTCTGTCCTCCACTCATTACCTGTATTAATGGCACCTGTTTGAACTTGTTATCAGTATAAAAGACACCTGTCCACAACCTCAAACAGTCACACTCCAAACTCCACTATGGCCAAGACCAAAGAGCTGTCAAAGGACACCATAAACAAAATTGTAGACCTGCACCAGGCTGGGAAGACTGAATCTGCAATAGGTAAGCAGCTTGGTTTGAAGAAATCAACTGTGGGAGCAATTATTAGGAAATGGAAGACATACAAGACCACTGATAATCTCCCTCGATCTGGGGCTCCACGCAAGATCTCACCC